ACTTTCTTTTATTCAAAAAAAAAGAAAGGAAAAAAGAAAGAAAAAAAGAAAAGAGAGAAGAAATGAGACTCATGTCTTGTCTTTTAAACTGTAAGAAACACAATTAAATTGAGGGGCCTTCTGGTGGCAGTCAGATCCTAAATGGCCAACTGCATGGCTCAAGTCCTGGGCCTGGTGACTTGAAAAACACATCAGGTGTGTAGGTATGCATGCCTAAAATCTTAAAAGGAAAATGGAGGAGAAGCAATTGCAGTGTGGAAATCCTCCCAGGGGGAAGGGGAACACTCTCTCTCTCGCTCACATTCCCTGAGAGTTCTCTCTCTCTCTCTCTCTCTTTCTGTCTCTCTCCAGCAAGTTCATATACCCTATGGAAAATAAAATAAGAAAATAAGAAATACATTAAATCTTTAAAAAGGCAGGCCAGCCTATCTCTAGTGGTTAAGGAAGCCAGATCCAACAGAGCTGACTGCAAGTCAAATCCCAGTCCCAGTGACTTGAAAAACACTCTGCAGGGCTATGTGCATGGGTGTTCAAAATCCCAATAAGATAGAGAAATGAAGAAAAACTGAAGCATGATCAAACCCCATTGGAGAGTGTTTTCTCCATCTCCTTCCTTGTCTCTCTGGTGAGTGTATGCACACTCTAGCAATAAAAAAAAAAAAAAAAGCTTCAGTCCAGTCCAGTCATGGTGATGATGGACATAGAGTGCTTCTGCCTGAGACTACAGCAACATGGAAAGCCCAGGCTTAGACACAGGATTGACCTGAACACATCAGGTATACCCAAGCATGCCCATGATCCTGGTTGGTTGAGTGATTGGAGATATCAGTGTGGCGAGACTCTATAAAAGGTACATGTAGCTCTGTGTGTCTTGCTCAAGAAACAAATAAAACAAACAAAAGTTTAAAATGTCGCTAATATCTTAGACCTGAAATTGATAGTATGACATTTAAATAAACAAGATAGGTCAGTGGTTATGAGGACAGCTCTGAACAGTCTGCCAGGGCTAATAACAAATCTGTTCCATGCTAGCTGCAGAAACTTGGAAAAGTTAAATTCTTTCATGCTTATGGAGATATAATAGTACCCCCACACACACACTGACAATGTTGTTCTAAGTATTTTACACACATGAACTCATTTAATTTCCCCACTAATCCCAAGGAGTAGGTACTGATATCACATTTATTTTGTGGTAAGGTATGTGACACCCTGGGAAGGGGAAATTAATTTGCTGAACGTAGGGAGTAAGTTATGGAGAACATTGCCAACCCAAGGAGTCTGGATCCAGAGTCAGCAACTTAACTGCACTTTACCATGGATCTCTGACATGTACCCAAGAAAGAAGAGAGAGAGTGTAATTGATAAAAAGAGAAAGAAGTCAGAGGCAGTGCATCTCAAGAGACATCGTGGACACATCAGGAGAAATCACCCACAGAACACTTGGAATGCATGAACTTTTTATGAAAAGTGGAAAAGGGGTGGAACTAGGAAGAACTGGGGTTAAAGACAGGTATCAGCAAACAGAAGAGCTCAGGGACAAGGAACCTCAGCCAATACCTGAAGAACCTGCCTCCCTTGGATCATTTGAATGAACTGTAGCACCAGCTCTACTGCACATTAAATTTGCAATCCTGGAATTGTAACAAAAGTAAATCCTCACCATTATTGTCCAACTGCCAGACATATGGTCCTGGGACAATACCAATCCTTCTTAGTCCAAGATGGTCCTAGGAAAAACTCCCTCAAAATACATCATATCAGCCTTTGGAAAATGTATATTAGAGCTTAGATAATTAGCTGTCGTAGCTGGTACTGAAAATATATCAGAATAATTGAATCCTGGAAATAAGCTCATGAAATGGCAAATTTGTAAGTCTGTATATCTTTGGAGGTAGGCTAAAAACTACTTCCTGAATTACAGTCTTTCCAGGGCTGGTAGGTAGCATGGTGGTTAAGGATGCTGGACTCCCACATGGCTGACTGCAATTCAAGTTCCAGTCCTGGCGGCTTGCTTTCTCACTTCCTCTCTCTCTCTCTCTCTCTGTCCTTCTCTGGTCAAATTAAAATAAAATAAAGTTAAATAAAATATTTTTTTTAATTATAGTCTTTCCTGAAAAAGAAGGGGATACACAATAGATAAGCTTCACCTGCTGAGTCAGATTTAACTAGAAACTGGTCCTCTATTGAAGTAGCTTTAAGACGCAATGGAATGTCTGGTCAAGACTACCTGCTACCTGAAATTGGAAAAGATCTCAGAAAAGGCAGAAACAGGAGCCACTTTAGTTATGGTTAAAAACTTGCTTCTGAATTGCTACAATGTAGGCCCTGAGGTAGAGGTAAAGATGTATAAAAAGTGTCTGAGATTCCCCCATCAGAAATTATACATACACGCAAAGAGGCCCCGGCGCTCAACTCATATCTTCCAAATGGCTATTTAATAACAAACAAGAGGAGACCAGCAGATGATGTAATGGTTATGTCACTGGACTCCCACGTGGCTGACCACAGTTCTAGTCCCAGAATCCGTGGCTTAAAACTCATGCCAGGTGTGTGTGCATGCGTGCCTGCCCAAAATCCAAAGAGGAGAATGGAAGAGAAGGGATTATGACATGGCCATCCCCTCTGGGGGATGACTTATCAACTCTCTCTCTCTCCTTCTCTCTCTCTCTGTCTCCCTAGCAAGTTCACATGCCCATAGCAAAAAAAAAGTATTTAAAAAAAAGAGTAACAAAAAAGAAAAGAAATATTAATTTTTAATCATGAAGCAACTGAGAAGAACAAAGTCCTGTCCATATGAGTTAAGACTACAGGAGTGTATACAATGAGGATTACAGAAGAGAATTTGAAAACTCTGGCTTTGTTGAAACAAACTCTGGGGAGAACTGTGAAACTCTTGAAGAATCAGAAACTTCATAGGAGGCCTGAGGCACCCCTAAAGCTTTTCTATTATTGAAGCTAATTCAAGAGATGAAAGAAAGCAACACTGGCAGCTTTCAAGAAACTAAAAATGCTAAAAAGAGGTTGGGGTTGATAAAGCCAGTTATAACTTGGAAGCCAACACACAAATTCCTGAGACAGTAAAAAGGAAGGGGCAGAAAAGCAGTCAGTCATATCCATAGCACCCCACTTTATCCAGTCAGAGGCTTCCAGAAGGACCATCAGCCCTGGTCAAAGACTAAACCCCACTACACTGCCTCAGGTATAGGGGTTCTGGTCTGAAAGAAAACAACTCTGACACCCTAGGTACTGGTCCTGTCCAAAGTCATCTGAGACAAATTCAGAAAAACATACCGAAGCAGGTCTGCCAGAAATTGGATATGGAAAGGATGTCTGCAGTAAATGTTATCCATGAGAAAAAAAATCTATTCTGATCTCCCAGCAATCAAGGTCAAAAAAATGCAAGAGGGCCAAAGTAGTAAAACCTCTATATCCCCTCTGCAAGGAATCAGATCCTAAAGAGAATGGCTGATGACATGAAAGTCAACCTGACTACACCTCAGAATGTTTGGAAGTCAAAGGCACAAAATGGGCCCTGGCTCTGACAGAGAAGGAAGCATGGGCGAGAGCCTAAGCTAAAATTTTAGAACCACTCTTATATCCTAAAGAAACCACCATTTCTGACTTCTGAAGACATACAGAGCACTTGCTGATGTCAGTGGACTCCAGTTTGACTGGGCCACAACAAAAGAAGGTAAGAAGTAGAAACCAATAGTATCTAGAAAGAGAAACCCTGAGAAACATCGCAGAGGATAAACACTATGAGTTAATGCAAATTTTGTCACAGAAGGAGCCACAAGGAGATCCAGAGTGAAAGAGGATGAGAGCCAAGGGGTCATTGGGCTTTGACCACCTTCTGGGGAGAGAACTTCTGGAAGGTACATACAAAGAATAGAAATTTCTCTGACATGATGTGGAGGCAATTTTATTTTTGACAAGAAACTTTTTTCCTTGGGAAGGGCCCTATATTTGGTTGAAATAATTTTATTTTTAAGTTTTTGCTATAGGGTGTGTGCACTCACCAAAGAGAGACACAGAGTGAGAAAGTGAGAAATTATCCCTCAGGAGGAAAGGCTGCAATCCCTTCCCTTTCACTCTCTTTTTGGGATTTGAGGACACATGCACATGCACCGAGCATGAATTTCAAGCCACCAGGCCTGGGATTCAAACCGCATGAGAATCCAGCTCTTTAACCACCACACCATCTACAAGCCCTAAAAGAAATATTATTTTAAAGTCACTAAAATCTAACATTAGGTTTTTGGTATTTCGCTTTTTGAGGTTTAATTTACTTTTTTGTTTGGGGTCAAAGGATGTATGTTCCTACCAAAAAGAAACAGAAAGCATCTCCCAGTGAGGAGTGGTCACAGCACTATCCTTTTTCCTTCATTTCTCTATCCTGTCAGGATTCTGGACATGTGCACATTGGCACTGATATGTTTTCCAAGCCACTGGAGCTAGGATTCAAATCACAGTTGCCACTTGGGATCTAGCTCCCTATGCACTGGCTTAGCTGCTGTATTCCAGGGCCAGCCCAGTAAGTATTAAGTTTATAATTGGAAATAAGATGGTCTTAAATATTCAGGAGACATTATTTAATATATTTAGATTTAGATGTATACTTCATTTATGCCTAATTTAACTTCAGATGCTACTGATAATGCAAGAACCAGGGCTGGTACTATTTATAAGACAGAATTTGGAATTTATTAACTTTTAATATTCCACAGTTCAAAAAGTTCACTAATTTATCAGATGGAAAAAAAGGGGTGATTTTACAATTTTATTTGGAGCACAGAGCCTAACCAATCATATACCAGGAGTCTGACTCCATGACAATATTCCCAATGATTGGCATCTTTATTTTTACAGATTTCCTTTTTCTGAAATTATACCAATAAATGTTTAAATCAGTAAAAAAATAATTTAAAAATCAATTATGTAATTATTAAATAATTTTAAAATTAATAATTTTTATTTTCTTTTTTAAAAAGACTCACCTAAAAGGACAAATCCATCTGCTTCTGTCTCTGGTACTGAGGGCTTTTTAGATTCTACAGGCTTTCTAAAAAAGTGAAACATTGCTGCTGCTACTGCTGCTGCTGCTGCCGCTGCCCCTAAAAGAGAAACATTATATGAGGTCAAATTCAGATGAAATAGTAAAATCTTAACCTGTTTTAGTAAAGAGCCAAACATAAAAATCTCATTATAATTATTCCTAGAAATTCTACTGCCAGACTTAAAAACATAAGCCTTCCTAGGTATGAGACTAAGCTGGAAATTATGGTACCGTCTAATACCCTGAGTGTCTTGAAGTCTTGAATGTAACCTCTCTCAGCTTCTGAAGATTTGGAAAATAAACCAAGAAATCACTTCATAAAACTAAAGTCAATAGATAACACCCGAATCTGGAAGGACCCCAATAACCATAAAGCAGACAGTGGTATGAGGAAAAGAAAAACAAATAATAAATAAAAAATCTGTCCAGGTTTGTCAGACCATAACTAATTTATGCCTCATAAAACTAAGGCCACCTGAAAAAAGAAAGGACGGCATTTCAAACATTCCCTGCTTCTTGTTACCTAATTTTACAAGGAGAGTACCCATTATAAAATTGTACCAACTTTAAATTCCCATCAGTACAGATCTTGTGTTGGTGAGATTATTGTGCACTGCCCCCCCAGACACATTTTTCTCCAACTACTTCCACTTTCACATTCAAGCATGGAAAAAATGAACAGAAAAAAACTGAGAAGAAATTTAAAAGATACTTTCAAAGACACATGACATTCTGAGGACAGCCCCTTATAAGCAAAAAATATGTGAGAGCAAACAAAGGAAGAATCCTGGCATTAGCAAGTTATAACAGTTTTAGTGTCCACAGCCAGTGGGTGGTAGTTGAGGTGCTGGACTCCCACAGGGCTGACCACAGTTCAAGTCCTGGACCTGGTGGCTTTAAAATCACCCCAGGTGCATGTGTGTGCATGCTCAAAATCCCAGTAAGAGAATGGAGAAGGAGGTATGGCCATTCCCCTTGGGGGATGATTTCTCACTTTCCCTCTCACCCTCTTTCTGTGCCTCTCTCTAGGGAGTGCATCATGCCCTGTGCAAAAACCTTTTAAAAAAAAGTTTCCATCACTTTCTGTCTCTCTCTCTCTGTCTTTCTGGCAAGTGCACGTACCCTCTCCACAAAAAAAAAAAAAAAAAAAGTTTCCATACACTTCACTTGAACCAAAAAAATCAAGCAGAGTGGGTAGGTTAAACTTTCATCTGAGTGAAAGCCCTCTAGAAACTGAGAAATGAAAAATATATACATATATAGTCAAATATATATATTTAAGCTAATAAAGCATTAATTCCTGAGAAAACGTCAAATGTTTTTTAAAAAAAGGAAAAAAAACCCTGAATATTATACTGGATTTCATGTAGATTACCCTATTTTGAACTGTAAATTTAAGGATATTATCAAATCCAACATAAATGATGGTAAAAAGGAACCTACTTGTTAATATAAAATATCTGAACTATTTCACTTTTAAGATAAGTAAAAATGGGAGGCAAAAAGTGGTGTGGTGGTTAAGATGCTGGATTCCCTCATGGCTGACCACAGTTCAATTCTTGGACCTGGCAGATTGCTTTCTCACCTTCTCTCTCTCTCTTTCTCTCTCTCTCTCTCTCTCTCTCTCTCTCTCTCTCTCTTTCTCATAATAATAATGATAGATAAATTTTTAAAAAATAAAAAGTGGAGAAGAAAAACACAAGCCATACAAAAAGTAAAATAGTCCAGTAAGGGAAAAGGAATAGGCTCCAAAATCCTCAAAGAAAATAGCTTAGTAGATACAGTGATGGATCCAAAAGAAATGTCTGAAAATAGTTTGGCACCCTCTATAGAGTATAGTTTCTCTATGAGACTGGTGAATGACAAGATTAAATGAAAAAGGAAAAAGTGAAAAGAGAAAGAATCAGACAAAAAAAAATGAGTAAGATAGAGAGAAACACAGTTAAGGAAGAAATGAGATCAGAAAAGAATGGTTTTGAAAAAAAAAGGAATGGAAGAATAAAATTCAAAATGAAAGACTTAAACGAATGGGAGAGGCAACTACTCAACCCCAAACAGTTAAAAATTTAGAAGACCTCTGAAGGAACAACAGTTGATTTTGAAGGCACAACAGCTGATTAAAATTTAATCTCGGATAAGGATTGAATTGAGAATACAACTCTTATAAAACCTCAGTATGGACTACTGTGGTACTCAGTCAATTCTTTCTTTTGGGATAAAATGGATGGGCAGGGGAACTGGGGCAGCCTTGTGGTCTAAGGGAGCTTCTGGCTCCCTTAACCATCAGACCACAAGGCTGCCCCAGTTCCCCTGCCCATCCACATAGCCAACCACAAGGCTTGATTCTTGGCCCCAGAGGCTTGTAAGATATGCTAGGAGCATGTGTGTTGGTGCCCAATGTCCCAACAGGATGGAGAAATGAATTAAAAAAAAAAAAAAAAAAAGGATTGTAGAGTGACCAGGCCCCACAGAGGGAGGTATTTTCTCCTTCTTCCCCTGTCTGTGTCTCTGGTGAGTGCATGTGTGCTCTGGCAAACAAAGAAAGAAAAAAGAGACCACGGGTGCAGGTTTCCAAATGAAGGCTACTATAGCTAAATATACAAACACAGCCAAATAAATAAAGGGGAAGGGGACATGCAAAGAGGTAAAAGGAAATGTAAGAAATACAGAAAATACAAAAGCTGTAGCTAGTGAGCCAGCAGGTGCCGTGGAGGTTGAGGTGCTGGGTCCTGCACAGCTGGCTTCATGGTTGAAATCCCAGACCCAGAGGCTTGGGAGTCACACTAGGCACGTGTGTGTTCATGTTCAGAATCTCAGGAGGAAAATGGATGAGAGGCATGGCCATCCATCCTGTAAGGTGATTTCTCACTTTTTATCTGTCTGTCTGTCTGTCTCTCTCTTTCTCTCTCAGGCAAATGTAGGTACCCTATAGCAAGAAATAATAATTATTAAATCTAGCAAAATTTGTGGGTCTGGCTATTGACACATGAAGGGCTGACGGAAGTCAAATAGATAAGAACCTAACACATTTTTGAGAGTTATACTGTGAAGATAACTACCAGTCTAAATTAAAAGTGGACCAAGACTACTGAATATTTAAAACAACTATAGAATGCTCTTTGTTTTTAATTTTACTAGAGAGTGTGTGCACTCACCAGAGAGAGAAAAGGAAAGTGAGAAAGCACTCCCCCACCCAGAGGGATGGGCATACTGCAATCCCTTCTCCTCCATTTCTCCATTCAGGATTTTGGGAATGCCCACATGTGCGCCCAGTGTGTTTTTCAAGCTGCTAGATCTGGGACTCAAACTGTAGTGTCAGCCACGTGGAATCCAGCTGCCTTAACCACCATGGAACCAATGTGCCCAAGTGCCAATTTTTTTTTACAGACATGAAGCTGCCAGAGAAAACTGGTCAGTACCCAAAGAGGACCTATTCTCCAAGGCCCACTTCAGTTATAGCCAAGGAAGTTACTGGGGAAAAAAAAAAAAAAAAAAAAACCAAGAATGTAGAAGGAATGAGCATTAAAAAAAAAAAAAAAAATCCTCTCCAGGAAGCAAAATCTAGATGTAATTAAGGAACATTCTCTAACCCAAGATGGGGGTCTCCTAAAATGCTTCCTCAGTGAAAATGCAAAAATACTATGACTCTGTGACTGCCCCTATTCATCCCTCTTTCTAAATTGGAGCGTCTGGGGCAATTATCCTTCCCAATTCTACCAGAGTATAAGGGGGCTGGAGGGACAAATATCTTGTCTTTTTAGTTTATGATGTCTTCAGACCAAGAGGTGTCATATTTGGACCTGATGAAGAGACTTCTGTACATCACTAGAGAGAGTGATTTCTGAACATAATGTTATGACTGAATGGAGCAATATGGGCCTTTGCCCTTGAGGAGAGATGAGTTATTTTGGTTGAACACAATAAGAACCACAGTTTTATTAGGGCTATTCGCCAGCATTGTTTTATGGAGACAAAATAAGACAGTTTTCTACCCTCTTTGGAGTCATGGTGTGGCCACATGACTTGTTCTGTTCACTGTCCCCTGCCACTGAAATGCTATAAGGAAGAGCTTTGCGAACACAAGGGAGAAGCCTTTTTAAAAAATGGATGCTATACATCATAATCCTTTCATAGAAGAGCTCAAATTTCCAATACTTTTTCATGTTTGGCCACAAAAATGGAAAAAACATGGAAATCACAAAAGTGGCTCTAATAAGCCATTTTCAAGCCCCCCCAATTTTAGATATGTGTTTAAAACACCAGATGGAACTCAGGTGTAGTACAAAAAAAGGGTATCACCTTAATCCAATTATTCTGTATATAATTTATAATTTAAATCACTGAAGCCTTTAAGATTTTCATGATAAATATCAAATGGAAGCACTAAGCAGTGGGCAACAGTTAGATAGTATGACTTCCTAGCAAAGAGTAAACATTACAGCCTGTCTCTTCCAAACATTACATCATAAAATCCCACACACATTAGAGGAGATTGGATAATTTAGGTTCTAAGACTCAAGAAACATCCAGGCATAAAAGGAACTGGTCAGGAATAAAGGGAGCAGGGACAAAAGAAAAGAACCAAGAATGGCAACAAAGATTAGTTTACTGTAATATCCCTTGGAAATAACACTGAAGTTGTTACAGAAGTACCAGTTACCTTTATACTTATTGTTCTACCAACCTGACCACCACCTCAACTCCATCAACTAAGAATCTATCTCAACCTGTTTGGAATCATGGTTCCAACTTCACAGTACAAGACGTGGGATTCTCTTGTATGACCTATACTACTGCTGACATTAATGACTCATCTAGTAAGTATCCAGAAACAACTTAATAATATATCTTTACAGTAAGATCTTCAAGCATGAAATGTCTAAGGCAATAAACTGCAAATTATCTTCATCTCATGATATTCTTTTCATATCACTCAAAAACACAGAGCAGTATAAAAATTTACTCTGGAGGAATGGCAAATATCATTCTAAGATCTTCCCCTATGAGCGGTCACCACTCCAACAGCCAGATTTTGATGCCTGCCTGAGACTACCAACT